TGCACCCTCCCGCCCCAGAAAAATGGGGGAAGTTTAGTGAGCGATTGTCGTGCATTCAAGCAGAGACCGCTCTGGAACGCACTGCAATTGGTGTGTCCAAACCCTGAACCTTTCTTTAGTTGCTAGGGTACAGATAGGCTATATTCTTAAAACAGGTTTTTAAACTGTGTGTCAGTGGCTTTCACACATTTAGAACAGTGTTAAATATACCTAATATAAAGGGGAGCCAAGCACAACCCCCTTATTACCATGAAATGCCCACACATTGTATTAAGCATATGTAATGATAAAGAAAACAGCCAGAGACTGTGAACATGCTACAGAAATGGTTGGAGATCACCAATAGGCTATATAATGGATTGTTGTCCGTCTGTCTAAACTTGCTCTGATGAAGAGGATATAGCCCTAGAAACGCGTCATCAGGACAGAGATTCTGGCCCACTGCGGTTGCCTCATTATGCCAGCTTGATTTGGTTATTCAGAAAGGCTTTATTAAAGACACCGTTTGTGAGGATTATTTATTCAGCTTTTAACATTTGTGACTATTAAAACGGTATTTCACGAGGAAAAGGCGCTGTTCTTTCTTCTCTTTTTTACAATAAAAGCACACATATGCTTCCCTTAAAAATGAGTATTGCCAGGTTTATTATTTGTTCACAGCATCTGAAAAAGTAGCAAAAAAAAAAAAAAAAAAAGAAGAAAAGCCGACTACACTGCACAGAAATTGGAGTGAAAGAATTTCAGTACACTAAAGAGATTTTCCTGAGTTCTGGTTCTTGCAGTACAGGTACTGTGACATGCTGCAAAAGTGTTGGCAGTGTGGTTATTGTGGTCAAGTACCGCAGTTCTCATAGTACATGTATGGTGCTATAGAGAGCACATTCTCAGTGTGAGGGATGTGTTTCTAGATCCTCGCTGTACCAGGAACACTTTAACAGTTCCACCTCCCAGTGGTGGTCACATCTGCTGGTCAGGTTTGAGTAAGCACCTAGGTAGAACAAAAAGAAACTGCTGACTGCTGAGGCTTGAGGGCTGCACAAAATGTATCGTGGGGCTGCAGGATGGGCTCCAGAACATTAAGTAGGAACTACTATGCAAGTTAATGCTGAACTCCAGCCAAAAACTACAAGATAACAATTAACAGCCCAGTACAAGTTAAAAAAAAAGCAGCATTTGCAGCAATATTTCCCTTCAATCCAAAAGAACTTCCTATCTGCCACCAGATATCCTAAATCTGACATTCGGCATCATTCAACCCACTTCCTCTGAGTTCCCCTGGCTGTCAGAGAGCTTCCCCAGCCTGTAACTTGACAGCGCAAGGAGAAGCAGCTCAACTCTATCATTCAGCTTTCATTTCCTATTAGCATGCTTCTTGTCAGCACAATGTGCTGCTTCTTCCTCTCACACTTCAGCCTTGCTGCACATGGACTGCAAGGGGCTGATACCAGGTCAAATTCAGGTACTTACACTGTATGCATTTTTAAAAAACCCCAAAAACACATTTAATAATGATTACAGAGCTGCATCGATTTGTGTTTTTTTTTCTGGCCATACTATGCTCAATGTAGTATATGGTACATATTATGTATTGACTGGATCGTCTCCATATAGTGGGGGAATTAACAAGAGTATACGCAATATTGTTTTGGAGTTGAGATCCAGTCAGAGTAAAATTGTCGTTTTACCTTTTGTCATTTTTCTAGAAGATAAAATTACGATATATATTTGTCTTTAAAACACTGGCACATTTAGGACGTTTTAAATATATTTGTAAAATATTTTAGATACAGATGTGACAGTGTCTCGTCTGTGTAACAAGCAAACATCCAGGATTTCCTGTACACTTTCTATTGCAGGAAGCCTTCTGCAAATAACGTAAGAAAACGTGTGATGTAAAAGCAGAAAAACATCCAGTATGATACAAGGCAAAAGAGTTCACAGCACTAAGAATGCAGCAAGGAAAAGGGCCCGATTGTGTATTTTTCTCTCCTCCTGGGGATTACCTTCCAGGGTCAGAGAGAAGCTTCTGTGTCTAGTTTTGAGTATCATTAATAACTGAGCATTACTATTGTACTGTTCTGTAATGCTTTCATAGTTGCCAACATTTGAAAGCAATTTATTGAAACTCTTAGATGTTCAGCCTATTAGCCATGCTACTTACTTTTTCAAGCACCACTATAAAGCAAATGAAGACACGAATATTTGTTTGTATGTATATATATATATATATATACACACACACACACATACATACATACATACATACATACATACACACACTTTTGCAGTCCATGTATTACACATGTACTAAAAAATAAAATGTACATCAACAGTTGAGTCTAATATGCAAAAAGAGGGGAAAACATTTAAAAAAAAATAACACTGAAAAGTCTGGGGCTCTCTCTCTTTAGAGTTGGTGATTATGTATCTGTTTTGTGTTGGTTTCCAGACACTAGCCATCACACAGAGGCCACAGTTATCTAAAAAGTGGTTAGGAAATCCTTTAACCAACATAGTCTGTAAATTTACCTGTCTTTTTCTATATTCATGTGTGCTTGAATTGTTGTGCCAAGATCCCTGCGATCCCATGCTTCTCTCTCTCTCTAAATGTGTATGTACGTATGTATGTATACACACAGTGTG